GAAAGGAGATGCCAGCTAATAAATGTTAGAGGAAGCAAGTCATCGTTCAGCCATTGTGATTCAAACAGGAATTACACATAGATGTTAAAGTTGTGCATAATAGTTAGATGAGGAACAGATTATTTACATATTTTCAAAGCATAGCATCCCTAAGTTTTCTTTTCTTTTTTGCATAATTTTATTGAGAAACAAACAGCAATGAGACAGTTTCAAACCAAATTGGTAGGACAGTTTCAATAATTAACACATTACATACATTCTCCCTAGTGGTTAATTGCTGTACAAGATGCGGACATGATATCCTATTTACAAACACCATTAGAACAAATCCCTTTATTCATTAAGAGAATGTAACTATATATCTATCCTAACCACTTTGAATACACAGATACAACCTAAGTTTTCTTATTAATTAAAGAAAAAGAAAAAGAAAAAGCCACAACAGAGTGCAGACATATGGCCAACACCATATTAATCAGGTGATTAAACTTAACATGACCAATAAGGGTACAAAATAAAACCATATATCCCCTCAAGTGATACAGAGACACAAGCTCATCAATTATGCAGAATTACTTACAAAAATAGACAACCTGAGTCTATTTATGAATATAAATATATAAATCGAGAGCTATGAACAATCAACCTTAATCCTTCAAAATTGTTTGGAGGCCAAAACTTTTACTGACCATTTATGATAAAACACTCAATTAAGATGAAACAACATATAATTCAAAGCAAAGAATGTTGGTGATAATTGATGACATTTGACTAGTTTACAGATCACATAATTATGTTGTATAACTGTTACATTCCTTAATTTTTATAGCCATGCTGAGATTCTATGAGATTGTCCTTATTCTTACAAAATACAATTTTTTAACTCTGTCAGTGGGTTTCCACATCTGCAGATTCAACCAATTATGGATTGAAAACCTTTGAAAGAATTAGCATCTATACTGAATACTCAGATCAATTCTTTTCATTATTCTCTCAGCAAGACAGAGTAATAAGTATTAATCTAGCATTTATGTTGTATTTTTTATAAGTAATCTAGAGAGTTTTTCAGTATCCAGAAGGAGATGCAAAGGTTTTCTACAACAGTGTTGTGTGATTTTACTTAAGAAATTTGAGCAGCTGCAAGCTTTCAGAAGCCCGTAGTCCTAGGGCTTCTCCACAAATCCTCCACAGATATGGACCCATGATGACACACACTGCAATATTCAAGGGTAAGCAGGCATGATATCTGTAAGCTACTCTCAAAATCAATATATTTTGTATGTGATTATATGTGTGTGTGTGTGTGTGTGTGTGTGTGTGTGTGTGTGTGATTTGTGTTTAAGAGAGTTTGAATGTGAGTCTGGATAAAATCTATACAAAAATTCTTTGATTACAATGTTTCTGTAGATTTGAAATCACTGCAAAATAAAAAACAAGTTTTTAAAAGTTTTGTTGTAAGAGACAAAGAGGTCCCATTATCTTCTGTCACAAAGTTATCTTGGATTGGATTCTAAAAACTTGGATATTCTGTCAGAAGCATCACATAATACCACACCATGAGTGAGTGGCTCCTAAGCTTATTCCTTTGTTCCAGTGCCTTCATTTTATTAATAATATTGTCAAGATTCTCTCAAGAAACAAATTAATGGAATCTTATTAGTAATTTCCTCATTTGCTAATAAAACAGTAAATTATATAATGTTCTCAAGTTTTCATCCATACCACACATTTGTAAATCAAAATAATTTAGAAATAGACACTGAAAATCAACAATAGGCCAGACCCCAGAGATAGAGAAATGACAAAGTACAGCTCCTCCCCCCTGCCCCCCACTGGTCACCATTTACTAGGGCAGTGCTGGCCAGCAAGTCTGTTTGTAATTAATAAGCACCAAACTACAAGTTGGTTTTTGTGGTTCGAACAGTATAAACCAAATGCCAGATATGTAGTGATGTGAGAGAGCTGTGGGAAAACGGAACTGGAGGAAGTTAGTTCTGAAATGCCTCCTAGGGGAGCTCGGAAGAGGGACCACCTGAGTGGAGCCAGGCGGGACAGATGGAGTTTAAAGGGCACCAACACCTTGGGCAAGTGCCTTGGCCTTGTCAAGAGTCTACAACACAAAGTCTTTAACAATATTCCTACAAGAAAAGCCCTGAGAGGATAGGGACTTTGTCCTAGTGTATGTGACTGACACATAGCACTTACTCAGTAAATATTTAAGTAAATAAAATTGTGCAATTGTTTCATAACTATATAAATAGCAGGTAAACAAGTTGGCCACCGAGAAAGTTTCATTTTCCTCTTGTATGGCTTATATGTGTTGGTGACAGGAACTGTCTTTGTAATTCTTCTTGGAATAAAGGAGGTCTTTTCTGTGACAGATGCATGAAAAGTTTATGTTAATAAAATCTACAGAAATATGTGCGAGAGAGTATAATAGAAAAGAAATAACTTTTGGAATTTTGAAATAATCTGGGTTTGATTTGAAAGGTAAGGTAATAGGGGAAATGTGAGTGGAGACACAGGAATGTATGAAGCCTACATTGTCTCCCTCTCAATTTTTCTTAGAAAACTCTTAGAAAATAAAGTCAACTAAAATGAATGAATAGATAAAATGCTCCACGAGTGAAATTAGAGTTTAAATTGAACTGTCATAAAAGTACAAAATAAGACGCTTGAGAAACACAGTAAGAGTCAAATGTGCAAAAATCCAAAACAAACTATTTGCGAGCTTGAAACTATTAGCACTCATGGTCATAGTATCAGTGCTTACTGGAGAATCAGATTTAACACAAGAAATAAAAATGTGTAAGAGATTACAAGACTGGCTTACGATGGCTAGCCGTAGTCGGCAGGTCTGTGTGCATGCTGGGGGGGGGGGGGCCCAGTCGAAGCCCTGGAGCTCACTGCAGGTCCCGTCCCACGTGAGTCCGTGTCAGGAAGCCTACAGGTCTTCAACGGGAGACTGAAGGGTCTATGCCAGAAGCCAGAGTCTGCCCTGGAAGCCAGGACCCAACATCCAGGGCGAAGGCAATGACGAGAGCTCCTCCAAAGAAACAGAACCCATCCTTCCTTCTCCGTCTTCCCTTTATAGCCTCCAGTGACAAGCTGCCCTAGGGTGGCTCTTCACATCCTAGGGAGTGGAACTGCTGAGCCAATTGAGCGGGGTGCTCTTGTTCAAGTTCACACAATCAACCATGACAGTTATTAAAACCTGACTGCATTAAAAGAAGCCTGTGTGTTACAGATATCATCAAGCTAGAGCAAAGCAGTGGTGGGTCAAGGCTCACGCAAGGCATCCTAACTCCCACTCTATGGAAGTCGGTTCTGGCCCATCACAAGGATGAGCGTGGTCTCTTCTCAGGGTTCCTCAGCCCTTAGCATAGGAAACAATGCCTTGCCTCTCTCTTGGTGTGGGCAGGAGAGTTTGCACAGCAATGGGAGGGAGAAGGCACCGTTCTCATCTCTGTGGACTGAGCCTCAGTTCTGGGCCTGCCATTTGGGTGCATTCAGAGAAGTGTACATTCTCAATTTCACACTCTCCTGTTGCTGCCTTGTAATTTGAAAACATTTTCTCAGCACAGGGACCCCACAGTTCTACTTTTCTCTTCTTGAAATCATATACCCGGTGCTGCTCTAATCTGTTTATTGTGTGACCCAGATCTTTCCATTTAATGACCTGTTAACGGTTGCTCAGATTCGGGGGGAGCCTCACTATTCAGACATCCAATCTGCTGCTTGGACTTACGACCCATCTTGTCTTTTTGTACAGTTCTGTACAACTTGTTTATAGGGCTGTGATGTGTTCTAGTTCATGTGTTATGCCTTGTTTACCCAGTACTGTCATTTTTGCTGATTGTACTGTACAGTAAGTACTGTAGTTACAGGTTGTTATAATTACAGTATAACATGGATATATGAAAGTTATGCACATAGTCATCAAACTGGCATTTCCTTGGACCAATTCCTTCTACTGGCCATACTATATTCCTCAGGTAGGAATCCATTCATTTCAGGGCCTAGATGCAGGGACAAAACTCAGTAGTTGAATCAGGAGTGTCTGTAGAGTAATATTCTAACACAATCCTTTAATTTTGCAAAGCCTAACCATGAGCTATAAATTCCGGTGTCCACAAGAACCAAGAAATGAAGTGTGAGGACCAAAGCAGGTGGGTCAGGACTGCAGCCAAGAGCAGGTGTGTGTCGTGGGAAAACAAACCTTTTCTAGAAAGAGCAGCTAGGATAAGGCCAAGTATTGTGTGTTCATGGGGTCCCAATGCAGTTAGATCTCCCAATAAAAACAAGACAACCTAGGGATTCACTTTTTATTTTCAAATGCAAAATCACTATATTTTAAAATCTTGACTCAATTAGGAAAAATATCCCTTGGTTGGGCCAAACCAAACATATCTGCTTGGCTGTAATGTGGCCAATAACTTATGACCTCTGGCCTAGAACTTCACAAACAAAAGCATGTTTCTTAGTTTCCCTGTTTCTCATTAAATCTGTCTCTCTCAGTCTCTGTCTCTCTTCTCTTTTCTCTCATTCTCTTCAGGAATATAAAAACAACTTGTAAACGACAGGGAGAATTCAGACCATGGGAATAAAGGTCTGCCTCTAAGGAAAACATTCCCACTATTTTAATTGTTCAGTTACAATGAAAGCAAGCCACAGGTAATT